GATATTGGAGATGTGTATGAATATGAATCGTACAAGCAGAAAAAAAAGGTAGACAGGTTGTGCACGATATTCCCGGACAAAATTAATACTTCACCTGGACTGTCCAGGTGAAAACTGGACAGGTGGTAACACTACACGAAATATACAGAGATCCCTATGTTGGCAGGTGTTCCTTTTAGTTGCATCACATACATGAGAAAAATCCACTGAAATACTGCAGCACATTCATCAAATCTCTCCACCACAATATGGAGACATGATGGAAACAAACAATATCCAACACTTTTGCAATTTCTACTGCAATGCTATTAAAAAAAAATGTATCATGGTACTATATTTGCTGCATCAAAAGAATTTAAATTTTATCACTGAAATTTCCTAATTAATGAAACAAATAATACATTCAGAAAAACAAAAAATTGATGTTAATATTTAATACATACAAAATTGTCCATAGGAACAAAAAAGTTGATACAAGAGTATATCTCAATTGTTTACCAATTAATATCAAATGTAATCCTGAAGCTGCATTAAAAGCCGAAATTGCATAACATAACGGTAATTAAAATGTTTACTTATCGCATTAATTTAATCTTTATATATGTTAAATGAATACAAGTTATTCTTTCCATTGAAAATTTTCTTGTTTGTTGAAAATGTTTATTTGTATAATTAAAACTATTTTTTACTGGGTTTTCTAGTATTTATGAAGCTATAATATCATATCCAGTTATTAAGGAACATTACTTTTAAAGTTATCATATTCAGTATTTGGTATTGATATTTTAATTTTTTAAAATTAAGTATAGTATGAACAAATTTTTCTAAGACTTTATTTGAGGATGATTTTTTAAAATATTTATCATGAAACATTGATCATCATAATGGCTAAATTTAAAAAAGAATATAAAAGGAAATGAATTTTTCCTTTTATAAAAGGAAATATAAAAGGAAATGAATTTTTCCTTTTATATCCTTTTATTCTAATCCATTTATTCATTAATAATAATTTTCTTAAATAAATTTCTTTTAAAAGAATATTTTAATTATCAATTTGCTAATAATAGTTAAAAATTATAAATTTATTAATGAATTTTTTCATTTAAAATTAATAAATTGAAACTTGACTATTTAAATAATCATTTTGTTTGTTTCTTAATATTTCAAGGTAAATTTAATTTTAAAATTTCAAACTGCTATAAAAAAAAAAGGAAAATAATTGAAACAATGAATCTATTAAAATTGTTTATTCTGTATAAATTATTTCAAAAGGCAATACTAATTTTGAACTTTAATCTTAACTTACAACAGACTTCTGGTTACCTTAAACTATTAAAGATTAATAGTTTAAGGTAACTGTTTTTCTTCATTTTGAGTAATCTGAGATTGCAAAATTAAACCTGTAAAATAATTTTTAAATTTAAAACTTTATATGATGATAAAAAATTATATATGGCACCAATTATAAGTGTCAAAATGACCATTATCATACAATAATTGTCAGGATTATCTTAACAGCAGTTTTCTGTGTTAAAAATAAAACTTATCACTATGTACCACATAAAGTGAATATTGAGTAGTCTATTATTGAAGATTTTTCAGTCGTATTTTGTAGACAAAATTGTTTTAATCATTTTATATATGCTGCTACCTTGATAATTTAATAACAGGTGGTCTAAAAGCATATAACTTGCTGGATAATTGTGAATCTATATATATAATTGCAAATCTTTACATCTGCATAGACCTAGTAACAGTTAGTGTTACCAGGTAAAAGAATTCAAAAGTATTCAGAGAGACTATAGAGGTAGTGCCCAGATGTAATGCATTCTAAAAATGCATATTAAAGGTGAATCATACAGTTGCATATTGAACATTCCTGGGGAACTAAAAATGAACATTATAAAATCTCTTAAGATAGGAAAGATTTACTTTTTTACAGTGAATAAACACTGTATAACAATATATAAAACATTATTTAAAAAATTAAAACCATTGATTAACCAGAAAAAAGTATAAAAAAAATTAATTTCACAAATGACTCTTACATTACTAAAATAAAAACTGGCAGAAAGCACCAATGCACAGCAGCTTAAAATTTTTGACTGTCCAAAAGTCTGAATATGGTGCAGGAAAAGCAAGTTAAGATGGGCATTTGTAACATTTTAGCATATCATATCATATACATGGTTGCGTATATCAGTGGAGATAGGAAAACACACCGCTACATATCAAAATGGGATACAAAGAAATGCAACAGACCCCATCTGTCATTTCGCAGTTTTTTAACATCAAATCAAAGGAATGCAATGACATGGAATAAAATCAGTATAGATGACATTTTATTTTATTGTCACATTGCACAAATTTTCAACTCGATTGCAGATAACAGAAATTCAAAATTTGTTGAGTGCATCCTGATAAAACTTTTGTAGTCCAGTGGCAGGCCGAAAATTTAAGTCACTTGTATACTTCCCTGTTTTCATACAATTTTGATATGCAGTGGTTTTTGTTTTTCTTCTTTTTTTTTTAACATAACAGAAGCCTCATATATTTTTTATTTATTCTATTTGGAAAAGAATGCTATATATTCATATAGTAAATCTTTGCAAATAGGTAAAAGTGGCTATTCTGGAAAGTTTGATTTGTATCTTAAACCCATATACTCAGTTTTTTATGTAAATATTTGATGATGATACAGAGAAAAAATTCAACATGCATTATATTTTAATTATATATCACCATGTATTAACAGTGATATAGTATATTAATATGTAACAAATGGATACCCAGCTTTAGATGTTTTAAAATATTACATACACAGCTATCAAGAGAAGTTCTTGTAGAAAATGAAAAACTATGAAGAACAAAAGCAGATTATTTCCATAATGCAAAAAAGTTAGTAAATTATACATTTTGCATTATTTTCCATTAAGCTATTAATAATATAAGAATAATTTTTTCACTGAATTTTTACATAATTATAAGATTTAAAATAGGAATTTAAAAGTGAAGATTGTCATAGTAAAGTAAAATTTATACATGGCATAATTAATTAAGTTTAAATTCACAAAAGCAGAACTGTGAACACATTTACATTAATTAAACAAATTATTGTTTACTCTAAAATGTTTTTGTGAATTTAAATTTTGTTACTTTTGCAAAATATAAAAATTAAAAAAATAGTACAAATTTCTCTGTATGAGTGCAAGAAAGTAAGATGTAAGATTAATATGAAATTAAAAATTGAATGTAAATTTTCTTTGAATGTTTCAGGATTTATTTAAGCTAAGGTTAATTTACCTTAAATAAAACTCATGCAATTATTATATCTCAATGAAAAAAAAAAGGCTGTTACTATTAATAATACAAATTTAGAAATTATAAACTATTGTTTGCCCAATAACCCAAGCATAAGCAACTTCTGTCATTTAACTTGATACACTTTTTACTCAGGTATTATGATGATTTGTGACAATTTAATATAATTCTTTTATTTCTCTGGCAGTTTTTATTAATCTGTTAAATAATTTTCATAGAAATTGTTTTTTTTTTTTTTGCCAATATAAATCTGTTCAATTTATAAATTTGCATTATTAATCAATTGAATAACAGTTATTATGAAACTTCTTGTCAAATTAATCATTTTGGATCATGTACAAAAGTTGCAGCAAAATAGGATGCATTCATAAATTTTATAATTGTGTATTATCATTATCTTATAATACAGTAAAGTATGCTCATTGAATCCAAAATGCTCCCATACAGATCTTTACAATTTATACATTTCTACAAAGCGTGATTTACTATCTCGGTCTTTGCCATCATTTTTTTTTATTAATTCATTCTTTAAATCAAGTAATAAAAATTAGTATTTTAAAATTAAATATCAAATCCGTTATGACAACTATTAAGTGATCATTAATTATTGATGCTGAACGAAAAAATTAACAGCAAATGTATAAAACCACTGAAACCTGGAAATTGGTCATGGGTTTGCACCCTATCAACAGGTTGGCTGTGTTAACTTTCCAGGTTTTCTTCATTGACTAATGTCTGATTAAAGTCAGTTCCTCTAGAAAGCCTCGAGAGGAATTCCCTTTGGCAGAGCATCCATGTGTTTGTTGCTTTCATCCATTGCCAAATCTAAAAAGCAAGCAGTCAAGTAGAAATCATAAAAAGTCTTGACTAATCTGCTTGCAAAGATTCCATGTTTCCAGTCACAATAATTTCCCAAATTACGTATTTTTTTAATTCAATCTTCTTTTTTTATATACGTGCAAATTATTCAGGCTGGTATAACTAGTATTCATTAATTCTTAATAAGGTTTTTAAGTTCCTACCTATATCTGAAAAAAAAATAAATGATTCACTTCTTAAATAGACTATTTTGGTTACTTTACAATATTTCTTAAATATAATAATGTGGTTTGAATTTTAAGGTTTTTATAACTAGAAAATAAAACAAGCTTATGGTAATTTACAAGGAATAATGTTTTTAATAAGAAGAATTCATAAAGCTAGAGATGAACTTGATTTAAATAGTTCTAACTCTTTTTATAACTAGAAAATAAAAAAAGCTTATGGTAATTTACAAGGAATAATGTTTTTAATAAGAAGAATTCATAAAGCTAGAGATGAACNTAATCTCAAAATCACTCGCACTTTGAATATTATTTTAAAATGCATTATTTTGAGTTAAATTTTATTATATAAAAATGATTAATTTCTATGAACAGGCAAATAAGATTTGTAATCTATTTTGTTTGCTGTTAAAATAAGTTTAAAACATCAGCATAATGTAATCTTAATTATAAAATTTACTGATAGATGCAAATAAACCTAAAAAATAGTAACATTAATTTTTAACTTATTCAAAAATATATTTTAAAATAATGTGAAAAGGATCTATATATAATACATAATGAAATTCATCTCTAAGCTTTTGATACAGGTAAAAATAATAAAGTCATTTTAACATTGAACTTTAACAGAAACAAAACAATGTTTTTGTCAAAATGCCTTTGTAGCCATCATTCAATATAATGGCTTACAATACTTAATTTTTTATTTATTTTTCTTGATACATACATATAATAATATCTATAGACATTCTAAAATTGCATTTAATCTTTTTTTTTTTATTTATTAATATATTTGAAATTATTACTATTATTATTAAAGATTTCAGATGTTTACATAGAATTTGGATGAATCAAAAAATGAGCCTTTTAACAATCTGAAGTTACATCCTTATTAATATTGCATATTTATTTAAAACATCAATTACTGTATACATCTTTATTTTTATCTGTAAGAAACTATATAAAGAAAGAAATACTTGTTTTGATGCATATTTACAACTGATAAGTGGTCTATAAATACGGACGACTAGATAATATTTGCACAAATGCCTTGTATTGGGCATTCGGTTAATTGCACCTCATTCTGTACATAAATACAATCTCCTATGACAACATTTCAAGAAGCTGTTTATCAATTGTTATCAAGTCAATAAATTATTACAACTTCAAAAGGTAATTTTTTTTAAAGAATTCATATATTAATATTTTAACAATTAACACCAGCCTTTTTTCTTTACTCTGCCGTTTTTCATTTTCTCAATATGTTAACATTATAAATTTATTGAAAAATAAATTATGTAATATATAAATAGTCTCCTCCTAACACTTTTGAAATAATAATAATTCTCTATGTACCAAAACAATTGTTTGCAAACTATGTGAGGCATTTATACACAATTATTTATTGTTATGATCTCTAATTGCTCAATATTCTCATATACCAAATAACAGAATTGTACTATTTTGCATTCAAATTAATGTCAGCTTGTTTGTGAAGATCCAAAGAGCATTTCAAAATGCTTTGTATACAGATCACAATGTTCACCAGGTTCAAATTGTGGCAATCCTCTTAATCTGATGTTGCGTTGTTCAAAAAACTTGTAAACAGCATAAAAGGTCGAAGGATCATTTGTGTTCTTTGCTGCATGTAAAAATTTCCTTGCAGAAACTGTATCAATATTTCCACAATTTCTTATAAACCTCAGAGCAGATATTATCTGTTGTTTGGAAAGAAGAATTTCTACAATTTCTTCATTAGCTTTTCCTAATCTCTTCAACATGTCCAAAGCTAACTGATCAGAAGCAGGATAGAGATTTTGCAATGAAAGTAATAAACATGCTAATGGTTTAGAATCAGTTAGAATTTGGTACTGTAGAAATTGATGAAGCTGATAAAAGCAACGATGCTGAACCAAATGATTGATTAAAAGTTCATGAAGAAAATGTTGCACAGGCAATTGATACTGCGTCAATGATCGAATGTATTCCACAAGTATGGCAACAATATATTTATAGTTTGAATCTTCACTAACTTCAAAAACAGAAAATACCGTATACATGTCCGACTGATCGCACACAATCACAGGTTTTGGCATAATAGACAATTGCGCTCCTGCAACCACACTTTGTCTTTCTATATGCTTCTTACAAACAAGATTCAATTTGTCAAATATTTTTGATAGCAATGATAACGTATCTTCACGACGAGATAAAACAACATTCTTGCAAACTTCTAGCAAAACAGATTTCGAATTTTGACGGAGCAACAGAAAATCAACAAGGAGACATTTGTTGTCGATCATATTAATTATAGGTTCTAACTGCAGCTGGACATACCAAAGACAACCTAATTTTGCATCAATTATAATATTAGGTTGAAACACCACCCAATTAGGAGAATATAAATCACACACTTGTTCATCACCGTCAAAACTCATATGAGGTGGAACAGACGATAATTTCAACACAAAAGGTTTAATGGGACAAGGACGCACAACGGGCACGTGATAAGTGACAAATCCATCGCTATCCCCCGGCAGTCTAATATCGAACAACATGGAAGTCTTCGAAGCCTGATGATGAACAACGACCAGGTCGTCGACGACGTGAACCGCAAATCTACCGCTCATGTCGAGTTTCAGTATATCGGTCTTACGAGGTGGACCGTCCTTCTGCAAAGAATAGAGAACGATTTCTGCCCCTCCTCCACCAGACGTACGTGGCTGGTGCCTCAACACGATCACGCATATTTTTTGATAGATTGTCTCTAGAGTCACGTCCCGTTCCAGCAAGGACAACTTTGGCGGTTTGGGAACGACGGGTAGATCCACTTCGAATTTCGGAAGCCTGAAGACAGCGCCGGGTTTAAACTGGAAAGGATTCATTATATTTCCCATTGTTCCCGAAGATATCAACAACAGAGAAGATTCTGGCTGGTAAACGAACCAATTGACGGGAATGTTAACGGTCTTGACGGACTTCAAACTCCTCTTTTCCGATATAACTTGATATAACTCGATCCCGTGATCGGTTACAAAGGTTATTTCGTTCACACAAGTCCAAACAAAACCTAAAATCTTAGTTGCTTTCCCTTTACAACTTTGAGAATATTCTAAGGTGTCAATTTCCTTTCCAGTGAAATTAACAAATTCTACAGATTTCTGGCACCTTTGTATAGCCAAAACTTTCTGATCGGGTGAAAATTTAATGGAGATAACGACTCCTTTATCTTCCATTCGAAAATGGGCATTTGTACGATCATCTGGTCCTTTGACCACCACTCCCGTGGCACCACCAGAACGGACTGCAAACACCTGTCGGTTTGCATCGTCGAAAAACACATTTGTTAGTTTGCTAACCGGTTCAAACCTTATAGGGTTTGGACTTAATTCAAGAAAATACGGAGACTCCATCTTCCACCAAATATTTCCCAATGACTAACGGTTTACCATCCCTCTGGTGGCAGATTACAAAAATATATTTTAAATTATTTTTTTTAATAATTCATAAAACTATTTATTTGAATATTTATATATTATTAATACTTTTACGTATAAAATTAGAGTGTATATTTTCAAAAGAAAAATATTCTGTTTATAAAGAAAATAACAATTAATAATTTATATTGCTATACGTGTATATAAATAATAATAAATTTTATTTTTATTTAAAAATAAAAACGCAATCTAAAACTATTTTATCTTCAAATACACAATATAGTATGTATATTATATTTTTAGTAGAATTCGCGCTCTCTAGGAATTTCGGTAGACAAGTTCGGTGAAACGAACACAGGGATTTTACTCCTAAATTAGGGGGAAATTATCAGGAAGAAGGGAAATTTAACGGAAAAATATAAAGTCTGCCCAAATTGGTTAGTGGAGTTTCATCGATGGAGCTTCTAAAAGTCACATGATGCTATTGTTCGACTTTGCCCACGCCGCCTGCGCACGAAAGTGAAAATTTGTTTCTTTGGATTGTCAAAAAAACTAATATTTTTTTTCATAATGATTTTTTTACATTGAAACAGGAGCAAAACTAGGGAAATTTTAGGTATTTTTAGCGGGTTTACACAAAAGCAGGTTGACAACACTGACCACGTTTAGTATATTGTACTGTTTGTGTTATGTAACATAACGCGATAGTGTATTTGTGAATTATAATCAAAAACAAACTTGAAATAACCTTTGAAACAAAATGTAATTTCTTGTTTTTAAAAATATATCTGTTATATTATTATGGAGTTACGTTGATAAGAAAATTTTCCTTGAAAAACGATATTATTAATTTAATAGTAAAATATAATAGATAAAAGAAAGGCATTTTCCAGAACACGTGGCTTAGAATGATAAAATTCAAATTTACAATAATTTGTGATTTAAATGTTCGAATTTATTTAAATTAATATAAAATTTACATCAAAGTTAATCTATTATTGTATAAATGAAAAGAAAAATGTTAGGAAACTTNATAAAAATAATTTAAATTCAATTTCGTGTAAAATATATATTTTAATAAATTTTTAAAAATTTTAAAATAAAAGTCGCTGTATATTTTATATGTTAAAATGATTTATATTTAATTTTAAAAATTCCTTTTTTTAACGTTTCCCAAAATTTGCAAAGATTATGACGTATTTACCTCTCATTACGTCATTATGGTATGAATGCATTATTTTCACCGAACAAAAATTATTACCACTAATAAAAATTTAGATTAAATAAAAATATATATTTCTCGAAAAATGATGTGTAAGTAAACATAAAAGTAGATAAATACATCATCACGAAAGTAAAGTAAAACTGAAATTGCTTATATAGAATAAAATAGACCCTTTCCGGCAAGCCCGGATAGCTCAGTCGGTAGAGCGTTAGGCTTTTAACCTAACGGTCCAGGGTTCGAGTCCCTGTTCGGGCGAAATTTTTTTTTTTTTCGCCCCTTCTCTTACTTATTCTTCCATCCACCATTTATTCCAAAATTGCAATTAACATTAAATAAAATTATATTTGTATTGTGAATTAAACCATAATTATACATTTATAAAATTACATTTTTAACAAAGTACGGATAGTGGTGACACATCGTGGAAAGAAAGTGAACTATTTCTAATTTTTTAAATGCAATAGTATTTTATTAAATTCTTGATCTTATTTTATGAATTTATGTTTCCTTTATAATTAATTAATTTTTATATTATAAATTTCATGTATTTTAAAAATCGATTTTTTTTCTGTGCGTTTATATATGTACTAATCGAATATAATTTTTAAATTTTATTACTCGAGAGAGAATATATAAAGAAAGAAAAAAAAAGCTTAAGGCAATGCCATTTCTTATTAAGCGTGCAGATAAAAATATGGAAATGAACGTCGCATTCTGTTTAAATGGCTTAACTCGAAACAAATCGGAAAACGCTGGCGCGAAACGGAAGCATTAATTGTCGCGCGGATTATTTAAATAACAAATATAAACGAAATCATTTCTGGTATTGCCACTCTTATGAGTGTAATTATCATTAAGGTAGGTAAACCAGAATAATGATCAATAAAATGCTTGACAAAGCAAGAGGAAGCGATTAACGGACCGTTAATTTTTCCCGCAACTGACCTTTCTTGCAACCACCGACGGTAGCTCCACCCAACGGTTTTGAACGTGGATGGAAATCGTGATATTCATCTTCTCGAGCATATTTTCTAATATAATAAATGATTCTAACTTTCCTCGGCGAATAAATAAAAAAAAAAAAAGAAAAAATGTTGAAATTATTAGTAAAAGGTTTTCTGATTAATATATTAAAAGTGCAACAGATCATTATCTAACAGTTAATAAAATTGTTTTTTTTTTTTTTAATTTTACATTGTTGCCAGGTGCTATTTTATGACGTAATACAGTATATTTAACCGATTTATTTGAAAATAATTAAAATTATCGATATTATAATTAACCGATTCATTTATAACTGTATTATTTACTTATTTAAACAATTAGATAATTATAAAACTATGATAATGCATAGCGGGAGAAGGAAGAAACAAATATTTTCATATCCCCGCTTGGGTGAAACGAAACAGAAGGTGATGCTAATCTTCATTCTCCCTTTAAATAGCTCACTCCCCGTATGGGCGTTCGGAGAGTAATTAATGACGTCATTTCCCAAGTTATCTAGACTCGAAAGACGTCAACAGGACATTAACTGAATTATTTGAATAAATAAAATGCGCTTATATATCGGAGATCGTACATTAATTATTGCCTATATTTTAAACCTTCCGCTAACAAAATTTTAATCTTTGTAATGCGGCGCAAACATTCGGATTTAGTTTTTGATTAAATTTAGAGTATTTAAGTTGTAAAATCAATGTCGAACGATCAAAACTTTGATTTAAAATACGTGGCGATACACGTTAATACGACAAATATTCCCCCGCATTTAGCGTGGTTCCCTGCGTGAAGGTATGTACTGTACACGTGTAAGAACGAAGAAACCAACTTTTCCGCTTCATCACTACATATTTTATTTGTTTATGGTTCTTAGGAAGTATTTTTTCAAGTCGGATTTTTTAAATCATTAAACGTTACGTTAAAAAATTTATAAAAGTAAAAAAAGAACGGCTAAACTTTGCAACAAAAACAATAGAAAAATCCATTTACAAAATTCCACTCCTGCTACATTTAATTACGGTTATTTACTGAATTTGGTTAAACTTTTATTCTAAAATGAAGAAATGTTATTGTTTAGAGTATGAGAGTTATGCAAAATGCATATTTTTTTAGAGTGTAAAATGAGGTCGACTGTTACATAAATAGAACGATTGCAAATTGCAAAATGTTTTTTTTTTTTTCCTTTATAAGCGAACCAGTTAATGATTTCTTTTAGTTATCAGCGATGTAATAATGAAGGATGTCGAAAAAAAAAGCAAAACACGTGATACTTATTGGTGCACTTTCGATACAGCCTCATATAATTTCATATATAATAAGACGGAAGTGTTATATAGCCTAAATATATATAGTTTAATTATCTTTATAATCTTATCTGAATATATAGGAAGTACCTTAAATATTTTGTAATTAAATTTTAACTGTCTGATTAAAAGATTGAAGAAAAGTAATTAAAATTTTACTCTTCCAATTGGTACATTATTTAAATTAAATTGTTAAATTTATATATGTATATATATCCTTAGGTAGAAAATTACATTTTTGTACAATTCCCTAGAGAGGATGCGGCTAGAGAAAGATGCGGGAAACGGGATGACGGGACGTTTCGTTGCCTTTTGTGCGTAATTTTTCATCGTAATCAACTTATCCGACATCTAATCTTATGTTAAACAAGAGTTTCATAAAACATGTCATCGTATACACAAGTTATGAAAACTTTTATATTGATATTATAAAGCGTTGTCACGCTTGTCTAGTAGACTTCGACGACTTTGAATCGAAGTGTTATTTTCAGGGCGTAGACCACAATTGAATACAAACTTAAAAAGAAGATATATGGGTTTCGTTGCCGTAAATATATCTTTAGTTCAATGTGACCCGTAATATCAAACAGAGTTTAATAACCTGTATCTTAACTGGTGGTTGACACGAATTGTTCTACAAACGATTAGAAAGTGAATGCTTATGACTATAATCTATACCCGAAGGCTCTTGTCAGATTTTATATTATGTGTCTACACCTCGTTGTGACGCCGAGTGTAACAACGCACGAGTTTTTAATCCAAAAGAAAGATGTTTATGGCTACGACAAAAATAGTTAATGTGGAAAGTTAAAAGACGTGATCGCTCTTTAAAAAATAAACATTTTTTTTTTTTCCTTTAACTTCTCTTACATATTTAGGTCTGTACGTTGGGAATAATGCGAACGTTGTATAGGTTATTGCACGATTTTTATCAAAGAATTTTTAATTAGATTATTAATATTAAATGTTAAATTCTGATTGTTATTATCGTCTGTAGTATTGCGTAGGGGTGGCACATCGAAGTGTGCCTCATTCCTTCTGGTAATTTGCACCTGATGCGTAAACATCCCACTCTCATCATTAACACAAAGGAAATGGAATGCAGATAACGTTTCGTACGAATGAAATCACTTTACGAACTTTTATACGCCAAATTGAAAATGCAGCTTAGTACAAACGAAATTAAAACTTTTATTTGAGGATTTTCATCTGGCAAGTAATAATACTTCATATTAATTTTAAATTTGCACCAAAGAGTAAATGTCGTTATAAACAATGCGATATAGTAATTATAAATGTTATAAATACAGTACTGTTAATAAATAAATAAAATAAATACTGTACTGTTAAGTATACATCATTAACAAGTATGGCTTTCAATCTATACATTGTTGCAACTTCTTGCAAGTTCTTGCAAACAACTCTTAATGATTTCTAAGCCATAAATAACATTGTTTATAAAGAATTACAATTTACATTTCTATCCATTTGATAAATGATAGTAACTTCATTAAGATGGCATTTAGTTCTATTGTTTACTTTTGGTCACTTACCATCAATTCTTAATCCCTTAAATCCTTCTTTGTATTGATATTTATAAAACAAAGTTTGTAATTCCAAAATTTATATTTAATTCTGGAAAAATAAAAGAATTAAATTGGAATTTTATGCAGATTAATATCGGAGAAATTCAAAAAACTTGTGCGCTGTTACTTCCTTATGCGAAATTGTAAATCATGAATTTTTCCTTATTAAAAGTAAATAAAATATGTTTAGATTTATATAGACAAAAATAATAGTGCGGTAATCGTGGCCCGTTAGCTCAGTTGGTTAGAGCGCCGTGCTGATAACGCGGAGGTCGTGGGTTCGACCCCCATGCGGGCCAAAAAAAATATTTTTTATACTCTAAAACGTTTTTAACTTCTAAACGTTTTAAACAATAAAATAACGTTTTAATTTTGAAATAAAAATGCCACTCGCCTGCAACGAACTTATTCCGATAAAACTTTCCTTCCTCTTCCCTAAATCGGCCAACTTATGCTGCAATCTGGTGGCCGAAATTAGAAGCGTGAGTTTTTATTTTAAAAATATAAATTATATNATCTAACTTCGTCCTCGAGATTAATTAAGGAAGGACAGACGGATGACAGTGGAAATTTATGGGTCTACAGTTTTTTCAAATTACAGTCCAACAGAGTAATTTATTTCAAATGTTTCCAGTTATATTTAATTGTGTATTAATCGGATACTGAGAGCAGAAAATACTGTATTTGCAACAACAAACGCTCGATAGTTATTTGATAATATTTTGAACGGCATCTGTGCAGGAACAAACAAAATGTATTTTATTATTATTATTATTAATTTATATAAATAAGAAACAATATTTAAATTTAATAAACTAAAAAGTTGATTTGTGAAGTAATATAAAGAAGAAAGTCTCTTGAATACAATTAAAAAGTTATATTTTCTGTATAAAATTTAACCTACAAAATATGTTTTACTTACAGCAATTATGAGTTTTATGGTTACAAGCATGATTTATAATTACATTGTAAAATGTTTAGTATACAAATAACAAAAAATTGTTAAGATTTTTATATTATTAATTAACAAAGAGATGATTTTTGTGTTAAACAATAGTCAAATACAAAATAATTTTATTGTAGTGCTTGATTTCTATGTAATAATAAATGAATTATCTGTCGTTTCTTTCGTTGGATTGATGTAGGATACGGTAAACTCTGTTATAAATATAACACAAATATATTCTGTTTACTATAATAAGTACTGTATTTAAATCTGTGTATTATAACACTAGAAATGTGCATTACAATGCATCAGCACATAACGAGCTACATCACTAGAAAATAATGCTGTGATAATATATATTATAGACTTTAAATATGTACGTATATATGTAGGCTATGTATATATATATATATATATAGGCTATACACATACATATGTGTGTGGTTGTTTTTTAGGTATTTAAGTTTACTTATTCATTGTAACTTTCATATTACAGTTAATAATATACAGTCTGCGATTATAGAGATAGATATTTATCTGTTTTATCAGCTAGATTGTTTGGAATTTAGCAGTGAACCGATTAATCTGATAAGAAAGTGATAGAATAGCCACAGTCGAGCTACTAGATAGATAGGACATTGAACGAGCGAGCGGCACGTGTTACTAACAAAATGTCGAATTCTGTAGAGAATTCTACATCACACCTTTCGCATTCTTACTTTTTTTTTTCCTCCGTTTTTTTTACCGCCGATTTACTTGCAAAAAATTTAATTGTCCTACATTCTGTTATTTTTGGATATTGCACCCGTTTGAGAACAATCGTGTTGAGGCCCGTCTTTACTCGACCATGCATTAATATTTTTTTTTATATAATATATTTATATTATTAGTTTTTTTAAAAAATATTAACATCTTACGTAAGGATGATTTGCGATTGTTGGGTTTAATCTAAATTCGATCAAAACATATTTTTTGTTGTGTAATTTTTCTCTAATAATTTCGGTTCATCCGCCGCTCTAAATTTCTTCTTTGTTGTGTTTCGGTGCTCGTTTCTGTAATCAATATTAAGAGGAATTTGATAAAAGGTTTGTAAAGGTTTTATTATTATTATTATTATTAATTTATATAAATAAGAAACAATATTTAAATTTAATAAACTAAAAAGTTGATTTGTGAAGTAATATAAAGAAGAAAGTCTCTTGAATACAATTAAAAAGTTATATTTTCTGTATAAAATTTAACCTACAAAATATGTTTTACTTACAGCAATTATGAGTTTTATGGTTACAAGCATGATTTATAATTACATTGTAAAATGTTTAGTATACAAATAACAAAAAATTGTTAAGATTTTTATATTATTAATTAACAAAGAGATGATTTTTGTGTTAAACAATAGTCAAATACAAAATAATTTTATTGTAGTGCTTGATTTCTATGTAATAATAAATGAATTATCTGTCGTTTCTTTCGTTGGATTGATGTAGGATACGGTAAACTCTGTTATAAATATAACACAAATATATTCTGTTTACTATAATAAGTACTGTATTTAAATCTGTGTATTATAACACTAGAAATGTGCATTACAATGCATCAGCACATAACGAGCTACATCACTAGAAAATAATGCTGTGATAATATATATTATAGACTTTAAATATGTACGTATATATGTAGGCTATGTATATATATATATATATATAGGCTATACACATACATATGTGTGTGGTTGTTTTTTAGGTATTTAAGTTTACTTATTCATTGTAACTTTCATATTACAGTTAATAATATACAGTCTGCGATATAATACATATTATATTTGTAATTGAGAAATAGTGTAATATTGTAATAAATTAGCTACAATAATTAAAATGTAATGAATATTTTAAAAATAAATTTCAATTTTCCAACATCTTAAACTTATTATTGTATCAAATCAGTAACAGCCTTTAACATACTTTTACGTCTTCCGCCGATTTTCAACAATTTATCGGACTCCATTTCCACTGTCATTACAGCACATTCATCAACATTAAATTTAAAATTCCTATAAAGAAAACTTGATAACTCATCCAATAATAATAATAATAATATAATAAAAGAACAACATATATTTGTGCAATAAATTAATTTCTATTTTGAGCTTTTCTTTAAAAAAAAAAGAGAATATATTTAGACCACAAATTTCAATTATAAGATATATTTTTAAAGAATGAAAACACTTTAATTGCTTTTATGCTGACGACATAGAAAAATAATTATTTATAAGATCGGCGTGTATCGAGTCATCGTCCTTATGCAATGCAATGGATAGTAGTTATATTAAAGTTTCTTCTTTATTCAAGCATATAACTCGAAAATCTTCAAGTTCTATCCTTTGCAGAATTGGTTAAGATTATCAATAAGATGACTCGACGTTGAATATAATTATGAATCAAATTAAATTTGTTGAATACTGTAAAGCATTCTTTAAAGTAGAACGGATAGTTATTGGTAATCATCTTCAATTGATTCTTTTGAATCTAATCAATGAAACTTCCAGCCATTCGAATACATTATTAGAGCTATATTGCCAATTGTTTCAAATAATTGTCCACGGACGTTGTTCGAGCACAATTTACGATCCAATTGTTACATTGTATCAATGTAATTTTCAATTTTTTTTTCCTTTTCTAACGCAGTATTTTATTTACCATCTGCCTAACGTTTTTTACTCCTCGCAACTATAAAAATCTTACTTAACAATAGAGAAAATGAATTAATTAAATTTTAAAATTTATACACAAGATTTCATATATATATTTTTTACTAAAGAGTTGATGCGTGAAATTTTAATTTAAAGGAGAAACGGCTATTTAATAATAGTAATCGAATTGATTTAATATGATGTAAAATATATACAGAAGCGATGCTAAACTTAAAAGAGAGAAAGAGAGAGAGAGAGAGAGAGAGAACAAAGAATAAATATAATATAACAAAAATATATAATAGCAAAATTCATTGTTTTGTAATAACAATTTAAGCATAAAATTTTATAGAAAGAAAAAAAGTAATAATAATAAAAATTCGACATCGTTTCCTTTAAAGTCGAGAGCAACGTTCTTAACTTCTAAGATGTTATTGCGATAAAGTATCGTGTTTCTATTATTCATAAATAATACTTTCTTTTATCGTCGTGGAAAAATTTTTTTTTTCTGTCTTAGCGAGTATCCATTTTCACAAGGAAATCAAAAACAATACAAGAATTACATAGATATCTATAAATTTAATGATATCTCACTAACTGATATTACTAAATATCAGTCATTGAGATGACTTGGACATAGATTAAAAAAAAAAAAAAAAAACTACATCTAATTATGCAACAACATGTTTTAATCATCAAAAATAAAATAATTCTAACGCAAGTGGAATAATATCTCTTTCTGGTATGATTTATACGCTTTTATATAATTTATGTGATTAAACACAATAGCCTATATAACACGAATCGAGAGAGATAGTGTGTGTGTGTGTGTGTTTGTATGTTTGTATGTGCGCTTACCTTTTCCTCTATTATTATGATTATCCGAAAGTTTTTCCTTTATTTCTTCTCCGTGTCGTACTCAGTTTCCTCTAGAAAGCGTGTGACTTTCCTTTCTCTTCTACTTACGTGTAAATACGAGCTCACGAACTACATAAATGTAAAATATTGAGGAAGATGAAGAGAAATAATCTTATACAGTATACAAGAGTTTTAAACAGTTTAATGATAATTAATTACAGAGTTTATTCTAATAAATTGTTTATATTTATTTGAATATTTGATTTCTTTAAAGATTTATAGAATATTATTTATTTAAACACGCTTCTTTATGGATTGTTTACAAAACACTAGATTTTGTTTATATTCGCTATAATAATATATTTTAAAGGCATTTTTTCTGATAATAATATACTTACAACGTTTTTTTATATATATATATATTGGAATTATAATCATTTAACTATGTTCTTTTGTTAGTTATAATCATTTATACGTGTTATTTCTGTTAATAATATCCTTTCAAACATAATAATGTCACAAATGATAAGTTATTCGAAATGATGTTTATATAACACTTATACAAATATATTAATTAATAATAATAATAATAATAAATATTATGTTTATTATCAAATAAAATATATCAGAATATTAAGTTTACAGTATTTTAATGGAATAATATACTATATTATTTTTTATTAATGTCATTTTTTCTGAGTGTATTTTTTGTTTTTTTGGGTGGATGTATGTTTATATTTTTACACTTGGGTATTATGTGATGTTGTATATTTAGAACATAAATATTATTAATGTAGTTAATTCAGTAATTCTGTTATCGAAATTTGTTTTTTTTTTACTTTCTATCTACGAATGGTTATAAACTTTACACTTTAATGTATTGTTATTATTATTATTATTTTATTTTTTGCTTTTAAAACTCATTGGAAAATTTAAGTTTTAGTTGTTTATAACTGAAATTAAATGACACAAACATTTATTTTTCTTTTTTTTTTTTATCAATCGAAGAATTTTCTTCGGTTACATAAACAAGAAACAGCGATAAAATTTTGTTTTCTCGCATTTAACAACTATTTTATCGCATACATTCGAGAATATGATAAAAGTAAAAAAAGAAAACCGAAATAAATTTCCTAAACAATTCCTTTTCGTTTAAAAATATTTATTTTACTTGTTCTTTTCCTTATTTAAAAAAAAAAAAAAAAAAAATTTGTTGGGTTATTCGAACGATATTGATTTTGTAATCTTTTTTATATGCTTATTGATTGATTTTACGATAATAGAAGGGGTGCCACGATTTTTAAAGTATTTTTACATTACGTAACTCGATCTACAATATATATATATAAATGCTTAAAGATGTAATAATTATCAAAAATATCAATAAAAAAAAAAAAAGGCGCAAACAATTAAGACTTAGGCACTGGTAAGGCTTTGTTTGCTGGTTAAGGCTAACATCTGCTGTTTTGGTGAATGGAGGGCAAGAAATAGGGGTTAGAAAGAGGAAAAAAAAAATGTATACAGTATATTATATTCATAATCACATCTGCTGTAAGCGATACCGATGTTTGTCTGTTTTTCCTCACCTGTTAACCTGATTATTTAGAGGTGGACCGTAGTGATTTCGTGGCATAACCGAGTTACTCAGTTTCCAACATTCTGTTATGTAAACAGGGGTTTGGGTATGTTAAAAAATCATATAACGAGTTTATCTTCCATATCGTAACATCAGAGGCGGAACCATTTGCATCAGTACAGTCACGCGATGGACAATAGCTGTAGACCTTCTATTCCTTCTATTGGACACATGCAGAAGGTCAAACAATTGTTGCAACTACATTTCCTTTATCTGATGTTTATTAGTTATATTATCTATAAAATGTTATTGGGATGGTTTTAATTAAGGTTAAATAAACCACTTTTATATTCATTTATTATGTCATATTGAATAAAAGATATCATTGCTGCAGCAAAAAGATAGAGAGAAAGTATTTGATATAAAAGTTATGTTTCTTTTGTTTTGTTTGTCTGTTTGTTTGTATGTATGTGACGATGAATAATCGTATTTTCCTCGTTATCGGTTATGAAACTTTCCTCTAGACATAACAGACTTACGAGTTAAATGATAAGTTTGAAGTTTGAATCTTCTTTAACCTTTAAATAAAGGAAAAGTCATGAACTGACACATTAAAAATTTATGAGTAAAGTTTGTAAATTAGCTCAAAAAGTCTCGTCTTATGTAACAATAGTTATTCAAATTTCTACTAAGGAAAAATATCAGCAAATTAACTTTGAATTTCATTGATAAAAATAATTTAAATTCAATTTCGTGTACTATTTTATTTTATTTTCTGTTTATACATTTAAAATTAAATACAGACATTTTCTGTTTTTGATTAAATGTTAATGAAGATCATGATATAGAAAGTATAGAATATATTAATTATGTTTCGCCGAACAATCAACTATTTTAACTAAACACCGATCTTGATAGAAATAATCACTCTTTTAATATTACTTTAAAATTATTGCCTGTGGTTTAAGAAATTAATTAGCATATAAAACTTTGTTACGAAACAAAACGGGTTTATATCTTTAGTCTTTTCAATTTGTATAAAATTAAGATATTAATTTACTTCAAAGCTTACGTTTTAAAGACAACTTTTACTTCGTTTTTTTATATCACCCTCTTACGAATTTTTAATTGCCTGGGTGTATGGGAAGAAATACTAAAAAAAACTCTCTCTCTCAAATCTAATTCAAATTAATTTTTAACAATAAATAAATCATTTTATTTCCTTTAATATTTAACACTCATTTAGCTTATCAAAACAGTTTTTTTTTTATTTTATTCGTAAGAAAAGATTTTTATACGATTAATAATTATTCTTCTAATTGAAAATAATAATGATAATACAGTATATAAGAAACAAAAGACAGTCACGGTCATTTTGAACTGGAAATCTTTCTATAGTAACTTCTTTTTTTGAAAACTTATTGTAGAAACAGTTGTAAACAGTCAAAAATTTCCTATAATTTTACTAGTTTTAAAGGAAATAACATTAGTAGGAACTAACTACAATTTAAAATTTACATAACGCATAAAATTGTTGATAAGATCGATTATTTTTTCAATTTTTTTTTGTTGTAAAGTTAAAAAAAAAAAATTATAATATGTAGTAACCTGTATAATATTGAACGGATCGATCAGTGGCACATAATACCTTCACGGTTCCCAGTGTATTTGAATTAGGGGGACCTCATGTAGTGTTTTAACTTCGGGCATTTTTCTTCGGGGGAAAATATTTTCTTATAAAAGATTGGTTTGGGGGTCTCTCGATGGTGGGGGCCCTCAGCAATTGCCCTTTTTTTCCCAATGCTCAAATGTTCTAAACAGATTTAGAACCCTTGCAGAGGATTAAGGTAATTGAAGCTCGGTTACTGGTATTACTTTTTAAAATGCAATCGAAAACGTAATTATAATAATAATAATTTTTTAATTTAAAACAATAAAAATTCCCAAATTAATCATT